AATGATACCTGATCAGTAAGTCCTGCCCAGAATACCTATAAAAACCCCTTCTCTGATTTGCTTTCCTCCAGAGCAGTAGTTATATACATTTTATGGAGTTACTTGTTTATTGTATATTCTCTGCCCTGTCCTCCTCATCCTCTAGAATGAAAGCTCTACAACAGAAGATGCTTTATTTTATTTCTCCTTTATCCAGCATACTCTTCTTATTCCCTGGGGCCTCTCTCTTTGACCAGAATGATCTAGCACAAGTGTCTTTCCACTCGTTCAGTTACAGTATATACGTCCTACTCAGTCATTCAACCCTTGATAAAACCCCATAAAACCAAAGCAGAATCATTGTTTTCTGAATTTCTATGTTATCCCGATTATTCTCTATCAACTTCCTAATAGTAAGACCTATTAGCCTTTTCTCTGTTCTTAACTTACTAGATCTCTCCCCAGCTTTAGTCCTGAAACACCCATTCCTCCAGGATTCTGTCCTCTTCTTTTTTTTATTTTCTTGATACACATTTCCCCTTAGCTGGCCAATTTGCTGGTTAGGTATTACATCAAATATTGATGGCTCACGAATCTTTATACTCTGTTTTCTAAACAAAAGACCTGAATTCCCTACTGCCCTACTGGGCATATTTGCCCAGATAACCCACAGAGACCTCAAACTCAACGTGTCTAAACCTGACCCTAACGGGGCCAAATTTTGACCTCTTGTCTTCCCTCCCCTAAGCCTGCTCCTTTTCCTGTATTTCTTATCTCAATTACATATCAACATCCAACCAATCACACAAGCTAGGATCCTGAGTTTTCTCTGACACTTCCTTTACCTCTTCCTTCATCCTGTATTTTCGAATGGTTCCCGTAACTTTTATTTCCATTGCTAGTATTTCTAACATTTATTCCTTCTCTCTTCCAGCTGCTTTCGGGTTATCAATACTCACATAGACTTTGGCAATAAACTCTTAACTGTTCTTCTTGTTTCTTATTTTCGCTCAAATTTTTGTTGAATGAATTAAAAGCTTAATAAATGTATTTTAATGTGGATATTTCTTTAGGATTTTCCTGGAGAAGAAGTGCATACAAACTAAGAAAAAAAGGTAAGTCTTGATATATCTATCAAGAAGATACTACTTAGGTTTCAAATAAAATAAATTTTGATAATCATTTAATAAGTAAGAAAGCTTTTGATTCTAAGGACTTAAAATTATATCATTAGATTTGTTCTTGTCCCATATATGCTACAAAAGTGTATAAGCCATTTGTTTTCCAAATGTTTGAGACAGTATTTAAGCAAAGGGCATCATTGTCTGTCTGTGTGTGTGTGTGTGTGTGTGTGTGTGTGTGTGTGTATGTGTCTGAGTAAGATGCTACTTATACAGTTCTGCTACTAGATTTAAGGTGTAATAAGTCAAATGGGCCTTACACAATGTAAGTTTACTTACCCACTTTAAGAATTAAACAGTTCCTTTTTGTTAATTCCTAGAAAGGGCATCATCAAAGTCCCTTAAATCCACTATTGATCTTTATCTGTTGGTACCAATTATTCTCAAAATTGACCTCTCTTATGGTACTGTACCAAGTGATTTATCTGGGGCCACAGAGCTTGAGCTGGACTGGCAGAATTTGAACTAAAAAATCAGTCTTTTTGACTCCCTATCCAGAGTCTTTTCTACAAAATGATGCTGCCTCTTTAAATTCTAATCCTTCTGATTAATGAGCAACAGAGACAGAAGAGAAGCTATACGATGACAAAGCAAGGACTAAGTGAAATCCGACAATGTCAAGACTGGCCAAAAGCCTTGACAGGAGGAATGGTATCAAGGCAAGAACTTTGCTTTGGTAAGGCAGCATTTAGAAGACATGCAGGTTATCATACAGTCGTCCCAAGCATAAAGAATTATCTAGTATAACAGCCAGGTTATTAGACTTGGGAGTCAGAAGGTGTGATGTATATGTTCCAAGTCTGTGTAACCCTGAGAACATGATGAATTTCTGAGTCTCTTTATTTGTACAACGGACACCATATTATCTAAAACACAAGGTTGTTTACAAAAATTAAATGGAATTTATTTGTCTCTGTTTAAAATACACATTTCTTGAGCAAGTACCATATGTCAAGCATTCCTGACATATAGAAACACTAGAATTACAAAGATGAAAAGATAATCTGTGCCCCTCAAACTCAGTCTAATATAATGTATATAAACTATAACTATAAAATATGTAAATTTTACTAGAAAATCCTTCAGCAGTAAGGATATTAGTTTTTATTTATATTTGAGACAGAGTCTCGATCTGTTGCCCCGGCTAGAGTGCAGTGACATCATCATAGCTCACTGCAACTTCAAACTCCTGGGCTCAAGTGATCCTACTGCCTCAGCTTCCCGAGTAGCTGGGACTACAGGCGCACGGCACCACGGCTGGCTATTTTTTCCTATTTTTGGTAGAGATGGGGTCTTGCTCTTGCTCAGGTTGGTTTTGAACTCCTGACCTCAAGCAATCCTCCTGTCTCGGCTTCCCAGAGTGCTAGATTACAGGCATGAGCCACTATGCCCAGGCTGAGAAATGTTTTCTATAAATCTGCAACAGATGGTCACATAGCCTCTGCATGAGTGTTCCCAGTGAAAAGAAGTTCACTAAAATACTTCTCTGCCACATATAGTCTTATCTCAAATGGGTCTGGAATATCCTTCCTTATAACTTGATCTTAGACCTTGTCTTGTACAGTTATAGTTCTTATCTATAATCCTGGCAAGGATCTGTAAACATCCTGAAAAAACTTTTAAATTCTTTATTTATGTACATTTTTCTCAAGAAAGGGTCCACAGGGTTCTTTCTCTAAATGCTCAATGTAGTTTATGATAATCCCCCCAAGAACAGTTGCTCAAAAAATGCAGCACAAATAAGACCACAATGAAACACCACTAATGTTTCAAACTGTCCTCCAATTTGTATCTCATGCAATGACACCCAAAATTTCATATAAAACTTGAGATGTGGTCTGAACCTGCATGTATACAATGATATCATGAACTTTCTTGAACTGAACACTATATTTTTGTATCACATATAAGACATTTTGGCTCATATTGATTGAGTCCAGTCTCTTTTTTGTAAACCTAAATGCAGGGTTTTATATTCAACTAGCACATGTGAAAG